GTGAGTCGGCCGGCGGTTGTGACACGGCGCGGCACAGCCTAAGTTAGCAAAGTAAGGTCGGTGTGTCGGGGTTTGCCGCTGTGAGTCGGACGGTGCAGCTCAGACGCCACGGAACAGCCTAAGTTAGCAAAGTACGGTCTGTGTGTCGGGCTTTGCCGCTCTGAGTCGGCCGGCTGTTCTCGCCCCGGCACAGCACAGCCTAAGTTCTGAAACTAAGGTCAGTGTGGAAAGTAAGGCCGGCTCGGCCTGTGTAGGTCCGAGCTATTGCAAGAAGAACAAGTGTGGAAAGGCCAAGTACCAAAAGGCGGAGATGTCTCGAAGGATCCCTTTTGTACCAGCTCCTGTGCTTCCTCCATCTTTCGTGGTGCTGCTACTTTGCTCAATACTTGCTTTCAAATCATATCTTAAAAAACGGAAAACATATGATTGTTGGTGTTGACTACCAGGATGCCAGTCTAGTCCGTTATCTGTTCACTTGTACTATACTTCCCACACCCTCAGGTTGAACCTGCTCTACGCGGCCGGCGCCCCCCTATTCCATTTTGTCGGTGACCGAACAGGTGCTGAAGCACATGTCTCGCCCCACATCGGTCCCTGGGTTTTTTTGAACTCGGAAGGCTCTAAAGTTGCAATCTTTGCAATTGTGAAACCTTCTTTGTTGCAATCTTTGCAAGTGTGAAACCTTCTTTGTTCGCACTTGCCACCAAGACTTTGATGGCAGTGGAGACATTTGCTGGTGTCGCAACGATCGCAAGTGCTTTCCGGCCGCTTGCCATCTTAGAATGTCTTGGAGCTTCACGCGCATCTCTGTCCTAGAATACCTAGAAACAACACATGCACTATCATGCACCACATGTCACTTGTCAAAGTGGAATGTACTTGGTCCAAACAACAGGGATCTTTGGCCAACTAAGGAGGATGGGATTTTCAGCGGCGACCTTTCAGCTTGAGGATAGCCCCGACAAGAACCCAACCGAGCAGGACATCAATGATGGATTGGGCTTGGCGCTTGGCCTTTCAATGACCTTGCGGCTCTTCAAATGTGCACCTTGCATTCTAAGATGGAAGAACGAATGCACACATGGCTTCTTGATTTCGTGAAACTAGCTTTGCGGTGTAAGGCAGGGCTCAACTTCGAAGAGCCAGTGTGTTCCACATGGATCTGGATCAACAGCTTGGTTTCCTGAGTATTTTGTGTATTGGAATTGGAATGAAATGGGAAAATGGACATGGAAAACCTGCCGCTCCACCTTCGCCGCACGCTCAGGGGTACTTCTCAGACTCAGCAACGACCTGATCGCCCGCTTGGAGCTACGCACTTGGAGAGCGTGAGCTCTGCGACACTTGGTGGGGATGAAGAGTCTAGTGAGGAGGAATCTCCCAAGAGCAGCGACGAGTTCGCTGCAATGGTACCTTGTCCTATCGTGCTATAGGTGTGGGGAACATGTGTACTGTTTTGGTGAACCTGTGGGGTCTGGGGTGTTTAAAGGTCAGCCAGTCCAAGCCAACATCTCAGGCTGAAGCTTTGATGGTGCGGGATGTCGATGAATGTTCCAATGAGGGGCAACATGTGGAGAACCACCGCAAGTTCCTCCCTCCAAAGCCCGAAACATATGATGCAGCGGTTGATCGCACGCGGGACGAGCCTCCAATGGAGCCTGTGCCCATGTCGAAAAAAGAGCGCCGCTTGGTAGCACGCAGGTCCTGCAACAATCTCACTTGAACCCTCTTGACAGTTGCATCTAGTCCAGTCTGATTTACTTGAGGGTCATCATGTTGTGAGGCAAACGGAAGGAGAAGAAGGAGAGCAAAAAAAGCTGCCAAGAAGGCCAAGCATGCCAATGAAGCTACAGCTCCAGAACCATCCCTCTCAGGCCTTTTGTGATATGTTATGAAAAAGTGTGTTTCCAAAAGCGTGATGTTTCCATGGTGGTCCGATCATACAATGCAGTTTTACTTTGGTGAGCCAGGCGAAGTGGATTACATCCTTGGATCCTTCAAAGAACCTGACAGGCAGTTGATCCGTTCTTTGCCACAGAAACTATGGCCTGTGTCAAAGACACATGGCAAGCATTCCTATACACCCTGCAACTCGGCTTCCCCAATGTGCTGTCCTCCAAAAAGCTGCTAGTGGTGCAAGTGCTCCATCTTGTTCTCCAAGCTGCAACACAGACCTGGACTGAGAAAGGCGCCAAGGGGGGTAGAGGAGACTCCCCTGACTCCTTCCTCGGCCCAGGTCTGTGTTGCAGCGCCCTGCACTAAGGCAAATGCAAGGAGCACGTGTGGAAGTATTCCGGTTTCATGGAAACGAGTGGCCCAGTGATCTTCTGGAGAGAACGCAGCAACCCCACAAACACCATGGAGCCCGAACCACAAAGTGTTTTTTCAAAAAAACTCATCGCATATACGCATATATATATATATATATAACCAGGTGTTCCAGCCGTTTTGGCCCAAGCCCAGGCAGAGTTTGACAACCTGCTTTGCCCAGTCATTATCTAATCAAAACCATGGAGGGTTTTGACTAATCAAAACCATTGAGGGTTTTGGCTGCAAGTCTTGAGCCACTTTCCTGCCCGCCCAGCTTCTAATCAAAACCATTGAGGGTTTTGGCTGCAAGTCTTGAGCAACTATTCCTGCTCGCCCAGCTTCTAATCAAAACCATTGAGGGTTTTGGCTGCAAGTCTTGAGCAACTATTCCTGCTCGCCCAGCTTCTAATCAGAACCAGTCAGGGTTTTGACTGCAGTTCTTGAGCACTTCTCCCGCCCACCCCGCCCCGTTTGTCATCGAAGCCATCAGTGGTTTTGATTATAGCCTTTGGGCACCTTTCGTTGTCCAGCCTGCATGGAGCGCATCATGCAGAATTGCCATGCACTTAATAAATTTGCAATATTATCGGTTCTCGCGACAAAACGACAACAGTGTAATTCTTACACTGTCAACACGAAGTGGTCACAATGATCGGCTGTGCTTGTATCGTTGACATGCCGTGGTTCACAGAAATTCTGATGTATTTGCAACTCAACCTTTCTCACCGCCACGAAACTAGACCCGTGGCACAGACGTTCACACAAAAGAACGAACCCTGACACCTCTTTTTTTCCACACCGTAGCCTGCACAGGAGTGTTGCTCTTTGTCAGAGCGTTGGCTTGCACTCTCACATCCAGCCGTCCCCCCGCAACACCGCGTTCTCCTTGTATGTTGCTGTGTGTCACAGCAGTGGGCTCAGGAGCTCGGCCAGGGTCTAAGTTTTCCACCAACTCGTCCAAGATGGCACTTTGAGCATCCCGAGCTTTGTCTGACAATTTGCGCAGGAATCGCAAGGTGCGGTTCACTTCTTCCCGGCTCAGGTTCATTTCCACAAGTAAAGAAGGGTCATCCTCAAACTTATCGTCCATGTCATCCAAAATGCAAACGAGTTGCATGGCCATATTGCCTAGCTCCGCAAACAGAGCGCGCCGCATCACCTTGCTTTCAGGGCTCATCACCACCGCGACTTCTTCAGGCTGGGCTTCAGCACATTGTTCGGGAGATTCAGGTGCTTCAGGACCTCCACTAGCCATCTGCACAAACAGCCAGGAAGCGAGTTCAAACACGGGTTCTTTCTGAGTCTGAGCCTCAACACAACACGTCAAGGTCCAATTGAACACACAGACTGCGCGCCAAGTTTCCTCGGCTCGCACACGGCCTTGCAAACGTTAACAGTTCAGTTAGCCAGAGCAGACGTTCCGACAAACCAGCACATGTCTTTTTCCACAGAGCTCTCTGTGCAGCTGCTACGACGGCCGTTCTGTACGTGTGAATTGTGACACCAGCGCGTGCTGCAGCAGAAACACTGACCAACGCTGGAGTGTGGCGTTGCAGCTCATGGCACTGGAAAACAGCTAAACGGAAGGTGCAAATTCTCAGCTACTTTCTTGGTAACTTCTGTCAACGCACGCTTCACAAGCACACGCTGCTGCCTGCCTCCTGTTGCGCCGCAACGTCTGTTGCACACATCTGCTAGACCCAGAGAGGCTGCTAGCTGACAAACTTCATCAAATTGTGTAGCCGAAAGCTGGCGAGAACTCATGGCAGCACGGCCCAGCCTCGCGGTATTTCTCAACGCGTTCAATGTAATTTCCGTGTCATGGGGAAGCACCTTCATGACTTGAAGGAGGCTGACCTCACAGGTGCTCATGGGTTCTCCACATGCCTTCGCCCAGGCTGTGTCACCTCCACAGCCAGCATCTTGAGGCTGCTGCTTGCCTTGCGCCTTCAGCTCGGTTTCGAAAGCAATGACATTCAAGAAGTATATCGCTTCTGTGAATCGGACCAAAGCTCTCCGTACGCTGTCAGCCCCGACAATTTCGTTGGGCGAATGCCGATCATCCACGAGGTCTGTGAGATCCAAATGCAGCGGTCCAAGCGACGCAGCCTCATCGCACCATCTGAAAAAAGTCACAGCCATTGTCTGCACCTGAAGCAGGATCAAGAGCACACAACGGGCGAGCCTCCACCCTCAAACTTGATTGGTTGACACGTCTTCCTAGATAAAGAAACAATGATTTTTTTCGCTACACAGTTTCTCCCAAGCTAAGACGAAAAGCTGGCTTGCCCGCAGCACCCAAACTTGCGCCCCACGTTGCTTTGAGGCCCTTTGGATCCTTTGCGCT